TGGCAATCATATCTGTGAGAAATTAGATTATTCAATAAAAGTTACTATATAAAGCATATATACTATTTTTGGGATAATAAAACAGTTATTTAGAAATTCAGTTGTTCCTAAGCCTGAACTCTCTAGTTTTATTCAATTACTTAAGACAAAAAGATTAGCAAGGTATGACAATAATACAGGAGTTGACTGAGATGCTTAAAGAATTTTAGATCTTACATTTTGTGTATACAATGGTTCTCTCTTAGCCTCTTCCTTCATCCTTTCCCCCTTTCCTCTCTGTAAATACATACCATTTGCATGCTGAAACCAGAAATGCCTAGAGTTATGAATATCTTCAATTGTCTTCCACCCAAGAAACCATAGATGGAGTAAGCAAGTAAGAACGAGACAAACGTAACTCTAATTTGTTATAAAATGTCGAATCTTTTGTAAAATTCCATGCCTCTTTATAATAAACAGAACATTTACAATAGTCATCACAAATGATTAAGTTATGCTGTGTAGACTTCAGATGTAATCTAACCACCTAAAATTTCTCAATAAATAAACTGCAGGATAGAGAGTTCAGCTGCCAAGTTCGTTGTCAAAGAGCATCGTAAATAATGGATCCTTCTTGGCTGCATCGTGCTTCACCAATGATTAGCTGTGTATCTTTGAAACTAGCAACTTTTCTGAGCCTCCGTTTATCTCTAAATTTGGACAATGACAGTATTTATCTTGTATATTTGTGAGTTAATAGAAGAGATGGAGTATATGAAAGTAATTTTCACATTATCTGATATGTGCAAATCTCTTCAAATAGGAATCCTATTATTTATCTTAAAAGAAACTTGTTAGGACAACAGAAATATGCTTCAGAAGCCAATCGGATTGCTAGTGATCAGCATTCTTTAGAGTACACAAATGCCTTGAAGGAGCCTGATTTATATAAATTAGCAGAATCACAGTGCTTATTCTGGATGTTCTATGTTAATAGTCCATTTTTCTACAGATTTTTGTGATTGTTTTTTTCTTTTCTTCTTTCTTCTCTGTTTTGTTTACCACCTGGTTTACACACTGGCTTGATGTGAAAAGACCAACTCTCTCTCTAAGTAGAACTTCTGGATCTCTAATTGTTACTCCTCAACAAATGATCAACTGTGACATTACGTTTTGGAAAGATTATAAGTGACATTTTATAGTTATTTACTTCTTTATATTCAACTTTATGTAATTATGTTAAAATCATGTCCTGGTTTTTGAAATGCCTTTCAGAAGATTACTAAATTAACACCCATCAATGATAGACTGGATAAAGAAAATGTGGCACATATTCACCATGGAATACTACGTAGCCATAAAAAAGGATGAGTTTATGTCCTTTGCAGGGACATGGATGAAGTTGAAAACCATCAATCTCAGCAAACTGACACAGAACAGAAAACCAAACACCGCATGTTCTCACTCATAAGTGGGTGTTGAACAATGAGAACACAGGGACACAGGGAGGGGAACATCACACATGGGGGCCTGCCAGGGGGTGGGGAGCTACGGGGGGAATAGCAAGGGGTGGGGGGTTTGGGGAGGGATAGCATTAGAAGAAATACCTAACGTAGATGTTGGGGGGATGGATGCAGCAAACCACCATGGCACATGTATACCTACATAACAAACCTGCACGTTCTGCACATGTACCCCAAAACTTAAAGTATAATAATTTAAAAAGTGAAAAAAAAACCACAAGTACAAACATACTTTTTACTATGATGCCAAGTTTGTCTTTAGAAAGAATTTCCAAAAGAACATTGAAAAACAAAAAACTGCACAATTCTTCTGCCCCAGTAACTCTAATAAATAATACCTTGGGGGAGCCACAGTCACAGTCTTCTCCCACTTCCAGAAGGTAGTTCCCACACACTGGTATTGTCATTATATTTGTAGGAATAGGTGCTCTCAGCAGGCACTTTGGTTTCTGAGATAAAAGGTATCTTTCAAAACGTGAGCGGCAAGATGCACTGAAATCCTTTGGGAATTTTGAACTGTAAACAGAAGAAAACTCAAATAATATGATACACAGTGTGGTGCCTTCTGTGTGATAAAGGAACACGAGACTCTGACTTAACTAACTGTATTACCGAGCTCAATGGAAATCCCAGATTTAGCAACCAATTAGGACTGCATTGTATTAAATGTGTTGGGTGGTAGGGCATGCATACTCTGATATTTGGAAATTTTTTCATAGAGCTCAAGTCATAGAACTGGAAGGATTTCAATTTCCACGTGGCCATTTAGTATTGTTCTAAAGGACAGCAGTGATGGGCATCACCATTTGTTATTATCTACTCATTTTGCATTGAGAAATGAGGGGCAAGAGATGATAATAATGAACCAGTGAAGGGAGTTAGTTGCAGGCTTCTGGGCTCTATGGAAATATTTCTCTTCTTCTTTGTAAACATTTCAAGAACAAGGTATGTCTTATTTATTTTTCTATCCCAAGTATTTGCAAAATGCCTGGCATTCACAGGCAATTCATAAATATGCAAAAATGGATTGATTGGCTGATTGATGATGGGTATATAAGAAGATCCTGTCATCATCTTAATGAGATTAATATTTTTAGAAACTATGGTTTCATTTTAAGTTGATATTACTTTAAGTTAAAATTATGAGGTCACCATACTTGCAAGCTCTATCTTGGCATATTTGGAAATCATTCTTTAAGATTTCCAAATATGCCAAGTTAGTTGTTAAAATTTGTGCATCATGAGACTGAAGGTTGAATTAATGGGATACACAACCTTTGGGAAAAATATGCTCATTCAACATCTATAGACTGCATCTGAATTCTTTAAGATTTGGAAAACAACTTTCTTCTTCTAGGATGACAAGCTCTCACCTCAGATACTGATTCATCACACAACTGCCGGAGGGACACTTGGTGGTGAATGGAACATCAAGCATACCAAGGACATGGCCCAGCTCATGTGACATCACTCCTACAAGGGCCACGTTATTCTTTCTTTTAGCCTGGAAAAAAGTAGACACATATATTTCTTTTTTTATCCAGTTGTTCCCAATGTGCAGTACTTAAAAATGGCTCGAGTGCGGAAAACTAGTAAATCATTTGCTCCTTTCCCTGTCACTATGTATTGCAAAATGTTGAAAGAGCATTTGAAGTGGTTGGGTCCTATGAATACAATACATTTTATTCAATGAATATTTGTTGCACTAACTGATAATAAGTTTTCAGTAAATCATGGTGAAATTAATTACACTCTTTGTAGGAAGTACTCATAGGCACCATATCAGAGGTCTCCAAAACTTATTGCTGTAATACCTATGACATCAGAGTGCTTGGCCACATGACACCTATAAGCACCCTTCTTCCTTGTCTAGCCTCTCTGACCATAGATACTGGGGATGACTAGCATTAGTCTAGGCCACAGAGGGTACCTGGATTCCCTTTCTGTTCCAATATTCCTACTCTGATTTTCTAACATGAACTGAAGAATGACAGGGCACCTTCTAGCAAGACCAATGTAAGGTGATGTTCTGTTTCATAATCTAAGGGATCTTCACTGCAATGACTTACCAGTAGTATCCTTTCTACTTTCATTAATTAAGGAAATGTTCATTTTGGTAATTCTGTATAAGGTGTTATGGTGGCCTTCATAGAGAATATAGAATCACAGGGAACCCTACTATGAGTTTACAAACCTCAATAACAGCAACCGAAGATGGGGAACACAGGGAATTTGAGGCTGCCATTCCCACACGTTGATTGCTGAAGCCAATCCCACTGTATGAAAGTTACAGATACTACTGTCACGATCTGAGCCTTTGTAACCATTAGCTTCTGTTAATCATGTTAATGAATCACCTCACTGCCCTAGCCCTTTTATATTTCACTGAGCCCCCCAAAAACTTCTATTCCATAGTGTTATAATGACCACAGATGGTTATCTTACATCCAAGGGTTCATTCCATCATCTGATTATTGATCCAATAATCTTGCAGGTGAATTGCTACTGGTAGAATGTTAAGCACTCTGATCAGGGAAATATTACAGAGATGAAATCACTGCTAAGGAAGCTTGGGTATAGCTATCCATTCTTCCTACATTTACCTGGCCAGCATGTGCTCACCTGAGGAGCTGAGCATGGTCGTGGATCTTCTTCTTCCCCAGGTTGGAACGGTGCCATATCAGGAAGTTGTTAAATGTGGTGCCTGTGGTAGGCACCACATTTATCTTATCCCCATCAGACCAGATTTCCATACCTACCAAGGCCACATGAACATCTATGGTGTTATAAATCTGTGGAAAGAGCATTTATCCTCATCAAAACATTCAGGATTCCTTTCGTGTTTCAGAGCTTTTGCTGACCACAAGTGATAGATAAAGTGGTGAATCACAAGTAATTAATTTTCATTTTGAAAATAAAAATGTTAAAAGTTGACTTTGTTGCAACATATGTGATTTTACCTTGATGAGGATCCTTGTTCTGCTACAATTTCCCTGAACTGTTGAACTCAAGACATTTGTGACCTTTGTAACTTCTTGTTGGTGAAATCATAGGGAAGTTACAGGCTTATATGCAGAAACACGAGGTTTACATGATAAGATCTTACCACATTGAGTAGGTTCATCACATCAAACACAAAGCTTCTTATGAGAGTTAGATTCTCCTTATAGCTCTTATACTGTAAAATACAAAACACAAACTATAGTGAAACAGCAAATTAGACTGAGAAGCTGATGGCATAGAGGATTTCACATTTTAAGAAAACTATGCATTTTGATATAATTAACATCTATTCATTCCATAATTAAATTATGTAAGACTGTGTTCTGGCAAATTCTATTTCAAATGTTAAGAGTTTTTTGATAAAAGTTAGACATACATGTGAAATTTTAATGTTCTTCGTTTTTAAGTTGAATAAATCAAATTAACAATTTTAAGGTTTTTAAACCAAATCATGTGACTAAAATTTGATTACAAAGCAGTATTTGCAAGATAGAAATGTAGATGCTAGCATTTTTCTTTGAAAATGCTTAGAATCAATACGATTTCTAAGTTATATAGAGTTCTGTGTTGATTTTATATTTACAAACTATTTATTTAAATATATATTTAATTTTATATTAAGATATAAAATATAATGTTTTAATGATACATTCTTTTTATTTTTCATTTTGTGGTTGATTTCCTGTAACTATCTGGTATTAAGTATATTGCCAATATCTACATATTTTGGTGGCAAATGGATATTAAAGGGATGAGGAGATAATAACTATTGCTGGTAAGACAAGTAAACAGCCAGGACACCCAGGTGGACAAATGCCACATTATTAGTTAAAATAGTTTATTGCTTGCTTTTGCTTGATAAGTAAACTTAAAAGTTGACTTAACTGGCTGAAAGGCCCGCATGTGTCATACTCACAAAGGCATTATCCAGCACCAAATACAGATCAATGTATTTCTGTGCCCGAAGAAAGTCTTCTTGCTTTACAAAGAATAAAAGAACATTATCAATTATTATCTTTATTCTAAAAGATTCCAAAGCTTAAAAGCAGGCTTTTTTTTTTTCCTGAGAGAACATAAATAGAAAAAGAAGTAAATAAATTGTAGGCTTAACATATACTACTCATTTCTAAGAATAGTATTATATTGCCTATCTTTGCTGAGAGAGTTGAAGTCAGTGATGAGGTTAGGGAATAATATTTACCTCTGGGCTTTTAAGGGATCTAGACGTTCGAACTGGGCCTTGTTCCCTGCCAGTGCTTCTCACACTGGCACACGTGTGGTTAGCTGGGTCTCGTTCTTCCTGGTTAGATGTAAAGACGGCATGTTCTTTCTCGTCTGTGCTTTTCAGAGGTTTTATCAGGTATGTTTGATGGTGATGTGTGAAGTATCCTCTGGGAGACATAAACACTTCTATTTCAGGATTCCTGACATACAGAGTCATATTTGCTGCCAAGAATGGATTAATGTCTGCACCTCCATCACAATTTCACACACAGCCTTGTCATTCATAGACCTCTCAGCTAATTTTTGTTAATCTAAGTTATAATCAGTATTTGTCAATATAAAATGAAGCCTAAGTTATTTACCAAGAGAAGTCTGAACAAAAATTATGAAGATGAAGCAACCTCAAAGAATTTGGAATGTGCACCATAAGCTTAGTAAATATTTTTCCTTAGTTTATTGATTGACTTAACAAATATTTATTGGCAGATCCTAGGACTGTAATAGAAAATAGAGTAAGAAAATATTTAGATAGGAAGAACCCCAGAGGGGAGTATGGATGATCAGGTCAGCCAGAGTAACATGCTGGGATTAGAAGTAGCTTAAGGAATCCCTCTTTCTATGTTCATAATAGTATGATAATTTGTTCATAAATAGAAGATGGCTCCATATAACAAAATATTACAATGCCAGCATAACTGTTAAAAATTATATCCCTGAAGGTATTTCATGACGTGAAAACTTGTCATGTGTTATGAGCCATGTTGGAAGAAGGGTGTGTTTTATTTTTTATTTCAACCCTGTGAAAGAAACATTTGTCTGTATGTATATAAGGATGCACACATGACATGATGTTACTAACAGTGATCACTCAGAGGTTGACTTTTATGGTAGTTGTTATTTTCTTATTTGTGCTTTTTTTACTTTCCAAACTTTCTCTCATTGGCAAGAATCATCTGTGTAAACAGAAACACATATACTTCTAAAATTAAGTTCAACTGTGACAATTTCAGGGTAGAATCTTAGAAAACAGGAAGTAACTGTTTCAGAGAGTAGGGTGGAAAAACACGAAAGCAGATCCAGATATCATCAAGGTCCAGAGCGTGGCATTCTTGTTTTACATTGCTAGGCCTGACTTCCCCTAGAGCGGCAGATTATGAAATGATTGTCAGGGTGGTACTTTGTTCTTCATTTAAACCACATATATTCAGCATTCCAGTAGTGAACAATTTACCAAAATAGTAAAAAGACAATATCCAGTAGCACTCAATTCTGTGTAACAAAAAACTGCTTGATCTTGATTAATTTTGATAGTAGTTCATACCTCAACCCATTGCAGGTACTAATGCTGGCAACAGAATTCTTTTCATTTAGGATGCTTCCTTTATAGTAACAGTGTTCCTGGAGTGGAAAAAAGAAATTATGCTTTAGAAATGTGTGTGTGTGTGTGTGTGTGTGTAAACTATGAGAATACATGTAGTGCAGTTGTGAGGAAAGCCACCATCCTGAATATGTAAAAAAGTTCTTAGAGTACTGACTGTGACCAGACCAATTTCCAGAAACACAAAGAGCAATAACCTCAGAGGTTTTTGGAATTGTTTCACTGGAAGCTCTCTATATTTGGTGGCTGAGCTGTTTTTCTGACATTAATTTACACTAAGAAAGAGTCCAGGGAAGTTAAACCTAGGTGGGCTCACAGTGAAAGTGGATGAGTTTTCTGAGAAGTAGCCAGTCCTCTTGGGATGTATAGATCCCAGTGGGCCCTCAGGTCTGGGAGCCAATGCTCAAGGATTTGGCTTCCCTGTGTTGAATCTCAAAGGCACTGTGCATTGCAAATAAGTAAAATGAGACATCTATTTTTCTAGACTGGGGAATCTTCAAGGTTTGATACTGTCACTCCTGAGCTCCTCAGACTGATTTAATCCCTGTTTTATGTTCTATTAGTAGAATCCCTTTATCAGCCTCGAAGACCCAAAATTATTTGCCGACAACTAGAGATTCAGACATGACTGTTGGCCCACATCAGCAAAGTTAGGGGGCCACTTTTGTAGAGTGATCTAAAAAAGATAATGAAAAAACTCCGGTGCAAAATAAATTGACCTGCCTCGGGATCTGAAATTCCAGCTGTGGTCTTTTTTCCCTTTTTGGAAGAGATCTTGTCAACATAAACATTTTCTCATAAAATACTAGAGATGATTCCTCATTAATGTATCATCATCAGCTATTAACAATTGAGCATGAATTAATTTATCAGACACTGTCTGCTGAAGATACTGTTAGCAAAATTTCAGATCTTCATGAAATAAGTTTTGATGAGCACAGGGAACTGAGAGCCATTTTGTGTCAGAAGTGTTTTTTCTTTTTTATAGAGAAATACATGTTTAGGGCGCCTTCGAGGATGGCTCTGAAAACTTATCATGAACATGAACACCTCTTGATTGAGATTTGTTGTATTTGCTTCCTGACCCTCTATTCCATGATTCTTAATGTCTGACATTTGGCCCTGGTATTATCTACAGGATGATGGTTTAATCAGATATAAAAATACTAATTATATAATTGATATTCCATTGCTAGCCTAAGGATAAATGCATATAACTCCAGAAAATAATAGCGATGTGAAGTTTCAAGTACCTATAAAGAAGAATTCTTCTAACCTATGGATAAGATGGTCTAGGGACAAGCGGACTTTCAGTTGCTTTTAAAAATGTGACACTTGGAAGCCTTCTTCTGCTGCGCCTATGTTTTAAAAGTCGAATGTGATTTTCCTTAATGTTGTCTCATTGGTCACAGATGAGCACCTTGCTTTCAAGTCTTTTGATTATTTTTTGAAGTTGTTCTTGGACCTCTGAATTTTATAAAATAGTTGAGTTCTTTTGGGGTCTCTTGCACCAAGGACACAACTTCCACAAAACCTCTGAAGGATGCTGGGGCACAAACATACATAAAGGGCCATAGCATTCAGGGAGAAGCTATTAACTGCTGTGGAAAGAGGATGAGCCCCATCCCCTGGAATTTACCTCAAGGCTGTGCATCTTGAATCAGCCTTGGACATATGTTCTTATAAAAGTAATGAAAAGCTACATCAAAGCTTTGAGTTTGTCTGAGTAGAAAAAGATGTTTAAGTTATCAGAAGGTCAAGGAAGAAAGTCATTTATATGTACCACTCTTTTTATCTTACACTTTGTATATAATTTCCTAGGAAATCAACCTTCTTAGGTAACATTAGCACAAACTGGTAACATCTAAAACTCAACAGAGTCCCACAAAGTGTTCGGACCCTACCATGTTCTCAGGCTTCGTGGTGATTTCCTCTCCTCTGGGTGAGTAAAATGTTTCAGTGTAGTCTGGCCCCAGGAGATGCCTGTAGAAAGCAGACAGCTGAATGAAACATTCTTCATGCAGAAAGGTGGAACTTCCTGACATGAACTTCAGCACTAAAATAGTAATAATGTCTAACAGTTCGAGACCAGCCTGGCCAACATGGTAAAACCTGTCTCTACTAAAAATACAATAATATTATCTGGGTACTGTGGCAGGTGCCTGCAATCTCAGTTACTTGGGTGGCTGAGGCAGGAGAATTGCTTGAACTCCGGAGGCAGAGGTTGCAGTGAGCTGAGATTGTGCCACTGCACTCCAGCCTAGGAGACAGTGCAAGACTCTGTCTAAAAAAAAAAAAAAAAAGAAAATTAATAGTGTCTAAAATAGCTAAGATTCTGACTTACTGATCCTCTTCCAACATTGGAGCTTTCCTGCTGAAGCAAGTCAAGGAGTTCTTCCTATTAAATCTGAGGGAGGAAGTCCCCTCATCTCCTTCTCATCTGCAGATTCCCTGTCTTCAAATTAGTCATTTTGAGATTTCTTGCACCAAGGACACAATCTCCATAGAACCTCTGAAGAGTGCTGGGTCACAAATATGCATAAAGGACCATTGCATTCAAGGAGAAGTTTACTAACTGCTGTCCAACTAGGAGGAGCCCCATCCCCTGGAATCTATCTCTAGGTCATGCATCTTGAATCAGCCTTGGACATATGTTCTTATAAAGGAATGGAAAGCTGTATTAAAGTCTTGAGTTTACCTGAGTAGAGAAAGATGTTCAGTAAGTTCCCAGAAGATCAAGGAAGAAAGTCATTTACATATGCCCTTCCTTTTGTTTTACATTTTGTACATAATTTCCTAGGAAATCAGCCTTCTTAGGTAACCTTGGCACAAACTAATATCATCCAAAGCTCAAAATGTCCCTATGTCAAACCACACTAAATGGATCCTCAAAAGGATCCCTCCCCAATTTTACAATATAATCCCCTGATGAGACTTTCAGTAGGTAAAACTTACTTGGTTTTTTGTAGGGAGAGAATGACTTCTTTTCCATTTAAGATCATCTGATATTGAACTTCATGATCATATCTTTCCTGCAAACATTTAATTACATCAAAAGATTTATATTTCTGAGAATAACTAAAATAATTATAATGATATATGTAGTATGTATTAAAGAACAATTACAAATGCATATGCGATAAAAACAGTTCTCTTGTGTTTTTAAAATATGTAAGACTAAACATAAGTTATGCACTAAGATGGACTTCCAAAAAGTAAAATAATGTAGTAATAGCACCTATAGATTAAACTACCTTTAATACATGAGATAGGGATTTACATTTGCCCTAATGTTTAGTATATGGTCCCGGGATCATCCAGGGAATGAAAACAAGGCATATATTTTTCTTACTTTAAACACAAACCAAATACACTTAAAAAAAAAAACAACAACAACAAAAACTCACAACCCACTAAGAATTAGGTAACAATTAGGAAATGAGGAAAATATTTACAACAATGTAATAGTCAAAGAATTAATATATTTAATCAATAATAAAAATATTATGCTAGCTACTGATACAAAGTTTAATTCTTCACTAGTGACAAAATGGCTGAGGGAAAAGACAATTCACTGGAGAAAAGGGGTAGTGTGAGGGGGACTCCACGAGCTTGGTGAGGCTGGCGAGGAACAACATCTCCATTAAAGATGGCTGACCCTCCTGGGCTGCTGTCCTCACCCGCGGATTTGGAGAGATGTCTAAGCAGCTTTATCCTTTCTTATCAAGTGAGGCTGTTGACTCTCTGCTGCTTAGCCATAGAGGCATTCTGAGAAATTGTGTGCGGTCTCCTGAGCAAAGGGGAGTTGTCTATATGGGCTTCAAGGTGAAACTATTAGATGTCAACTGTCACATCACTTCTGTTAGTGAAAAGGCTTTTTATTGTCTCTTCTTATATGGCTTTTATTGTATCATCTCCCACAGCCATTCACCTTGCTTACCTCTTCGCCATGCTTCTCTGTATGGTTGTTCTCAATCTCTCTTTTATGTAAAATGTGTAGTTTCTTAGGAGAAACTATTTCATGGAGAATTAATTCAGGTGTCTGCTTTATGGCTATTGCTAGAGAAAGAGAAATAATATTCACATAAAAGATTTAAAGGTTTTAGCTTTAGTTGTGTTGTATTTTGTATTTATTTTTTGGGTTGCTCAAAGGGCACTGAAGACTGCATTCCTGTTTAGACAGCAAACATTACCAACAACCAGTTGATTCTCCTACTTCAGCTTTGATGACAATGATTTTTTTTTTCTCTCTCTCCCTCATTTTGAAAAGACATGAAGATTATAAAACAGTTCTTCAGATGATCTCTCAGTGTATGCAAACTCTGGACCACTATATCCAGAAAGGACAGGTTATGGATTAGGAACAGAGGTTGTGTGAGCCTGAATTCTGCCTGTAGAAACCCATTTTCTTCTTGCTGTAGAGTCCTCCTAAAAATTGTGAATTTTTCTCTCAATGCCCTCCAAGGCTTTTTCTTTTTTATACCCTTTTCCTTCTGAAGCACAACCCCTGACTATACACTCTAAAAATAAAGTTTTTCATTTGTATATAAGGCTTTATTTTTAGGCAAGGTAAATCTACTAGCAGTTATTTTATTTCTCACTTTGACAATAAGCTGTGATGCTTTTTCTCTCAGCATGTTCCCTCAAGACTTTTGATTTCAAAGAAATAAAGATTTTGTTGTCCTCTCTTTGAAGAGTTTTAAAGCCTCAGAGAGGAAGTCGGAAGATTGTTTAGAGACACACTGTTCTTCTTGATATGCTTGAAATTACATTATAAAGACAGATTTTCATTGTTTACAAATAGTAGAAAAGAAATGATCTTGGAGCCAAAAGATGTGGTCTTATGCTTTTAGCCAAATGACATCATAGAAGTCACTTTAGTGTTAGTTTGTTTTCTAAAGTACAGGTTAGTGTAAAACTTGACTAAGATGTAATATATAAAATCATTTAGCACCCTCTTAGGAAGAGGGCAGTATGCTTCTTCTCTTTTCTCTTTTAATTATTCAATCATTCATACAAGGTTAGTCTTATTTCGGAATGCTCACATTTTCACACACAGATTGTGTAAGACCTGATAGACTCTCAGAAAATTTGGCTTTTACTCTGTGTGAAATGGGGGCCACTGGAGAGTTTTGAGCAGAGAAGTAACGTCATCTGACTTTTGTTTAATAAGATTGCCCTGTCTAATTTGTCAAGAATGTCATGCAGAGAGGCAAGAGTAGAATCAGAGAGATCATTTAAGAGGATAATGCAGTAACCTAGGAAAGAGGTGGTGGTGGCTTAAATGAAAGTGGTATCAGAGGAAGGAGTGAGATGTGGTCAAATATTGGATATATTTTAAAGGTGAAATCAATAGAATTGGTGTAGGATTTAATATAGAACATGAGAGAAAGAGAGGAATCAAGGATGACTCCATATATTTGCCTTGAGCAAACAGAATTGCCACTGACAGACGTGGGGAAAGGTGAAGGAAGAACAGATATGTGGAAAAGGTTCTGGGTTCCCTATGTTGTTTTGAGATGTCTTCTAGGCATCTATTGAGGGAAAAGCAACTCCATCTTGGATGTTAATCTGCCAGGTTGGCTTCTGATTAATCCCTGTTCTGGGAGCCCTCTAAGACTTCCAGTGTATCTGTTGTTCCTTGTGTAAGAGCAGATACTTACCATAAATCTTGCCCTCACGTCAAACAACTGTGATGTCATCACACCTCAACTGTCCGGTACATCTGTTCTGAACCACCCCTCCCCTGCAGTATCAATGCCCTGGATCTGGAGAGTAACTGAATAGGGGTCTTGTCTGGCCACCGCCCAGGACACAGACATGGCTGCTCTTTGTAAGTTCCTATTAAAACTGTTTTTCTAAGAACCTGGATTTTTTTAGCCTTTTTCTTTGGCCTCTCATCTTCCTTCAGCTTTGGGCCAGGTTTGCACAGACTTGCCCACCACATAACAGCATCTAAGTGGATTTGTTGAAAGTAAAGTGTACATTTTAATGTGGAAGCAAAAAGTTGAGAGTTGTCCTCTTGTGGATGGTACTTCCAGCTAAAGATTAGATAAATCACCAAATAAGTGAATGCTGCTACAAAAGAAAAGAGTATCAGGCACTGATCCCTGGGGTATTCCAACAGGAGGAAATTGAGGAGAAGAGGAGGAACCAATAAAGGAGGCAGTGTAGGTAGGACTTCTCCAGATGAAATGGTGTGTTTCATGCCACGGTAAAGCAAACAGAGAGGAAGGAGAGAAAGAAAAGAAGAAAATAAATGAGAACATGATGCCCCAGAAATGACCACTGGATTTCACATCGTTGAAGCCGTAAGAGCAGTTTTTGGTAGCGTATTGAGATGAACACCCTGTAGAAGCAGGATAGAAGAGAATGGGATGAGACTAGAGAGAAAGCATATAGGCAGCACCTTCTGAAAGATCAGAAGGTTCTGCAGAGCCCGTGAAAGGCTAGTTAAAGGCAGCCTGTTCTAGAATCCCGGGGCAGGGCACAAGGAGTAGGTATAAGGGAGTGTAGGAGAATTTATCTTAAACAGGCTCATTTAATTATGTTGACCAGGAGCTGACCATTGATCATTCCTGTGCCCGACGCTTCCCGAAAGGGGAGCAATAAATATTAATTACCTACAGGTTGTGTTTGCTCCAGGTTTTCAGCATTGTACCTGCACTGAATAAAAGCAAGCGGCTCCGGCTCCTTGGGGCTGCTCTCTGGCCGCCAGAGCCAGGCTGTCACCCAGCTGCTCTTACACTGCATACCTGTGTCTGAATACTCATTTCATCTGTCAGCCAGGGTCTCTGGAACAGACCCTGCAGGTGGTGCCCCGTTTGAGGAACGCTGCAACGAATCACGACGGAACCCTTGAAAACTGAAGTGACTGCGCAGTAAGTAATTGGCGCCCGCTGGGGATTTCCAAGTTTGGGGGGATTTTCAAGCTAGGGTTTCATCATGAGATGACAGTTATCAGCTAACAGCAACGCTATATAAAAATATTAAAACAGCTGCTTAAAGCTATCAGGGTATTGGTCTTGGAGGCCCAATTAAGGGACTTAATGCAAACTCTTGTTTATAAACCGTGGTTCCCAGAAGAAGGCACATTGGACCTAGAGCTCTGGGAGCAAGTGGGAAGAAATTTTTTTTTCCCATTTATTTATTTTATTGCATTTTAGGTTTTGGGGTACATGTGAAGAACATGCAAGATTGTTGCATAGGTACACACGTGGCAGTGTGATTTGCTGCTTTCCTCCCCATCACGAACAAGGGCAACAGGTCCCAGTAACATCTTTAACTTTATGGGCCTCGTTAGGGCTGCTTTGGCCCTGCTCTACACAGAAAAGCCCATAAAGGGAAGGGAGAAAGAACCATCATCTACCTTATTACCCACCACCTCCTCCTCCCTCAGCACCACCGTTACGGGGTTAAGGTGCCATAGAGGAGTCAGATTTTCCCTGAGACCCCTGCCCCAGTAAATTGGAAAAAAGACAGGGGATACTCTACAGTTATGAGACCACGTCTTAGGCAAGCAGCATTAGAAGTGATGCAAAGCCAACAAAGCAATTGGGTACATGAATCCATTACTTTCCACACTTAGAAAGAAATAAGAAAAAAGCATTTGGAGAAAACTGAGCTGCTAGCCCATTTATGAAAGGATTAATTGAGGCCATAGCAAACAACTTCCATATGACCCCATGGGACTGGTTAGCGCTACCTAAGACAATTTTATAGGCCGGTCAATACTTCTCTGAAGGGTAGGATATGATGAGCTCTGTGAGCAACAAGCCAGCCAGAAGCAAGTGTTCAGGCAAAACATAACAGCTGCTCTCTGGCCACTAAGGGCATGCAGTTACCTAGCTGTTCTTACACTGCATACCTGTGTCCCAGTACTCATTTCATCTGTCGGCCGGGGTCTGCAGGACAGGCCCGGCAGAGGAGAGAAAATTTAGCATGGTAACTGGCAGAAGAGAAAGAAAAAGTATATTCATTGTAAGTTGGGAGAATTTTTGTATGCTGATGGAAATGATTCCGTAGAGAATATGGAATAGATAAGTAAGAAGGAAGGAAAATATTAGGTCAGTGTCCTTGTGTGAGAAGGGATAAGACCTAGAGGACAAATGGAGGTGTTAAGCCAGCACAGATAGGTCACTTATGGGAGCAGAAGGTAAGGCTGATCATACAGGGACAAGGAGCAGTAGATTGGTGAATATGGTGGAACACCAGCTGAAACCCCTGGCAGTCCCTCCCATTTCCCCTGGAAACTTCTGGCATGGTTTATACACATAAAGCAAAACAAATAAAATGCTAAAGTTCATTTTGTTTAGCGGTGCAATGAGTACAAGTTTGTTTGAACATGATGGTTTCATGCACTATGAACAATAATGATAAGATTTTATGGAAGTTCCAGAAAGTTGTGAGCTTCAAAGAAGAACGATGAACCAGATAAGATTATTAACCTGATAAGATTGTATATGGATAAACATAAGAACATTACGAGGTATAAAATTAATCTAGCTAACTGCAATCTAACGAATATCTTCTAAAATAATAGCTTTTATTGTTAACTGTTGGGTTATCTAAAGTAATGGTTTCCAAAGTAATAGGGAGAAATATTTAAAAATTCAGGGCTACTTGGGCACTATGGGCTTCATAGACTATCATCAAATTCAGAAACATTTTAGTGACATTTTCAGCAGAATTTTGAAAGAACAATGGTAATACAAACAAGTTTCTCTTTCTAGAAATTCAGCAGTGAGTATTTTGAGGTCTCTGTGAGGAAATGAGAGAAAAAAGATGTGTAGAATTTTTAAAATTTCAATTAAACAATTCTATTTCATTTTCTGTTGTGTGACTTTAGGCACAACTAATTCTCATCAGACAGCACAGGCACAGCTGTTCAGTTAGTTAATGTTTTCTTTTGTTTAATGATGCAATTATGATGTATTATATCTGATTTTTGTTTAATAATGCAATTATATAGGATTTAGCCCTCATTCTATTTTAAACTCTTCCCTGTCATTCATCCTGGCAAAGTCTTTGACCAAGTTGTGTCTTTGGATAAATGATTGTCTCCTCGTGGTAGAAAATATCAAAGGATTCAAACTGTATTCAAGATGATATTGGAGATGATTAGGAAGTTCTCTTAAATACATGGATTTGATTTTTGGCCAGGAAGTTAGTTCCATGTTGTCATTGGGATGGCATGTTTTAGAAAAGAAAATAATAGATCTAGCAGGATTATTAAGTAAGAAATACAATTCCGGAGACATCCTTGCTAAATTATTATGCAAATCACAAAGTGTTGACTATAAGCCTGTCTATTTGTTAATATGGATTGAATAATTGGGTTTTAAAAGACTTCATTGAGCTCTGTGTATATATGGCATAATCATTAGTTTAATAAGTACTCTATTTTATCTTTCCTTTGGGTATATTATTGATGTTGGACAATGTGAGAAGTGAAAGAGAATATAAAGGCTGGAGTCAGCCCTTTGTATGCAGCTTTTGCAAGGCAACATTTAGGCAAGTGATAATTTTGTGGGGAGCTTGGATAACTCCTCAGTTATATACTTTACATTTTTCAATATAGGATTTAGGACAAATGTGTTCATACATGGAAATGTGCAGGTTTACAGCTTGACTTTTAACATGCTTATCATGTGACTACTAGTAAAATAACCAGTGACTTGAAAATTATTTCTGGCATAATAAGAATGTATACAGTGGTCGGCAAACTGGTTCATCTCAGAATAATCGATCTCAAAGACAAAAAGGGTTGTTTTTCCAGAACTAGTCATTTTGACCTGTCATTCTGCTTTTAGGAGTTTTTCTTAAGGAAATACCTCAAAGTGTAGATTTTTTAAACAGCCTAGATTCATGACGATGTTAATAAAACTTTATTTACTAGAGAAAAGACATAATGAATGGAACAATATGTAGCTTTTGGTTCATCTGTTCTGGAAAATATTGTGCAAACAAAACTTATTATTTATTAAAACATATAACAATTTGAGAAAATATGACAAATTTTAGAATGCATGTTTCATGTAGTGGGTTAAAATACCTTCACTCAAAATGATATATATACGCATGTTTATATAGTTTGCTTTTGCAGAGAGAGAGAGGTAGAAAATATATCAAAATGCCAATGGCAGTGATCTTTAGATCACAAAAACATATTCCATTTTTTAAAGGCATTTAAGCATTCATCAGATAATTTGACTTTCATATAAAATGCTGATGTGATGGTACTTACCTTGAGTTTGGACAATGAGCCAGAGTGCAGACAGCAGGACCCAAGACATGGTGGCTCCTGCAGGTAGCTGAGAAAGCTCACACAGCATCAAGTTGTGGTTTCCCCAGTGTCGTCTTATCTTCCCCAATTTATCTTCATAAGTTGAAGAAGAAAATGAAAACCCCCACTTTTCGTGTGAGATTGGGGAACGTTTCTTAAGAGTGTTGGGAAATTGTCAAAAAATTGCAGTGTCAACATCATGAGGATGTTTCTCGTTGAGAGATATTTGTGGCTGCAGTTATAGCTTGTTAAGGACTCACATCTGGACAGTGTTTGCCCTTGGTGCTCCTATAGTAGTGGGAATGTGTGAACTGAGACTGAGGTGCTTGCAGGCATATCTACATACTCAACAAACTGGACCATCACGATTCCTGTTCAGTATCCTTATGGAAGTCAATCCACATATTTAGAACATATATAGGTATTCTGTACATATTTTGAGAAACTGTCACAGTGAACACAGAGTCTAAAAAACAAACACCAGGCAAAGTCCTACAAACCAAGATAGTGCTAATATCTCTAATGTTTAGTCTCCTTATGTGTCAAAAGGGGATGCTGGTAATATCAACTACCTCAAGATTCTTAGAAAATTCATGAGTTTGCCGACACACACTTATGCACATGTATGTAAAATTGTAAAGCAACGGGCATGTATAAGAAATGTACAATAAATTTAAATTATCTTGACAGTGCTAGCCTTAACCAAACTATACAATACATGAAGTACATTTGAGGTGTACCTTGTGAGTTCTACCTTAGAAAGTAACAGTGTTTCTCTGACCATAATATTGTACATTTTCCTGATGATAATAAAGTTTATTGTGGGAAAAGAGTTGGTTGTCCAATGACCTGACATCAAGAAATAACATCTGTTAATATATTTACAATTTATTTTCATCTTTTTATGCAGGAAAGAAGGAAAGAAAGCTAACCTGATTATACAGAGGGCTTAAGAAACTTACTTTTTTTGTGTGGCACTATAACACAAGCATTCTCATGACTTTGAATATTAAGACATCATTTTAATTACTTCTTTATAAAATATCATAATTTGTACATATGCATGTGTTGAGTGTCCAAGTAATGTGTGGTTGTCTATATTTATTTAACTGACTTTTTAATTATTTCTTCAGGATACATGTTTTAAAGTGCTATTATTTAGTCAAAAAGAGTTAATCAACTTGAGCTTATTGATATACATTGACTCAGTGCTTTTCAGAAAGTTAGGGCCAAATTAAATTTTCATGTGTAGAGTTTTCCCAATCTAAAAACCCATACCTTCTAACTGCTGAACTTACTTTTCACTGATACATTTAGGAATTTCCTAGCATCTGATTGGAAGTTTAAAAATCCCCTCTCTATGTCTATTCTTCATTTAGTTGCTCTTCTACCTTCTGTTAAAATAGTAGCATTTTCTCTATAATTTTGCATTTCTTTTTCTGGTCCAAAAGATAAACCTTTATCTTATATCCTTTATGAGCCACCATTAATATTTTAACAAAGTGTAATGCTGATTATATTTCTATCATCAAATAATAAAAGAATTCTGGAATGGTGAACTCTTATCAGTGCCCTACCCTTTGCCACCTGACATGTTGTCAAGTATTTTAGTTTATCATTGATTTTGACCCCCGTGTTAATCATTATTATTTTCTTGTGTGTTTTCTACAGATGTTTGAAATTATTCATGTGTATCAACTTCTTTTATTGCAGGTACTTTTAGCAGGAGTTCTTTTTTTTTTTTTTTTTAACTTTCTTCTTCATTAAACATATTTTTTATTTCCATAGGTTTTTGGGAAACAGGTAGTATTTAGTTACATGACTGAGTTCTTTTGTGGTGATTGGTGAGATTTTGGTGCATCACCTGAGCAGTATGCACTGAACCCAATTTGTAGTCTGGAATTACTTACCTGCTTCCCATCCTTTCCCCTGGAGTACCCAAAGTCCAATGTAGCTTTCTTAAGCCTTTGCATTCTCATAGCTTAACTCCCACTTAAGAGTGAGAACATGAAATGTTTGGGTTTCAATTCCTGAGTTACTTCACATAGAATAATAATTTCCAATCCTATCCAGGTTGTTGCAAACACCATTAATTCATTCCTTTTTATGAATAAGTAGTATTCCATCACATATATGTGTATGTATATATATGTCCTTGTAAATATATATGTGTATAAAGAAACTGTTACATATATTTGTATCTGAATATTTACTGAAATCATATTAAAGTTTTGTTTCTAACTGTATATATATACATGATATATATACACATATGTATATGATATATGTGCGTGTATATATACATATATGTATATGTATGTGTGTATATATATACATATTTGTATGTATATATATATGCTGATTGATTGGATGTAGCCTATCCCAGTTGGAAGAGAGGCAGAAGAACCTGGAATGAATTCTAGGGTTCAGCTTGAGCCACTATATAAATCTTCCAATTTGGTGTCTTGATGGAAGTTGCAGTTTGTTAATCCATTAAAAACACAAGATATATATCCGGAGGTACCCTTCAGGATCACAGCATTTTGATGATAATAGATGTTTAAAATATTCGTTGAATACATGAACACCATGAAAAAATTTTGAAAATTAAACTCTGCATAAGCTACAGATGCTGTTTATTAGATAGTTGAATATCAGCCTATAAATTAGAACTGTGGGAATAACAGTGAAGAAATTGTTTACCCAATGCATCTGGAGGGAATAAGAAATAAAAAATATACAGAGCCTTATGAATACAATATCCAAGTATTGACTAAACCTAGGATTTAATTTATGGCCCTAAAACTAAGAAATCATGACCAAAATCCTGATTACAGAAATTTTTATTCCCATAAAGTCTGCGACTTAAGTTGTTGCATAATAACATTTTTGATGATTTGGGGCAGATGTTTAGATGTTGTCTAACTATGAATGAAAATAGAACAGCAACATGGAAAAAAATTATCTGTATCTATATCTACATTTATACATATATCTCACCGTTTCTTTATCTAGTCACTGAATGTTGGGCATTTGGGCTGCTCCCACATTTTTGCATTTGCAAACTGTGCTGCTATAAAGATGCAATACACAATGCATTACTACCTTACTGCCGCAAGAATGGCCATTATCAAAAAATCAAAAAAATAATACATGATATTGGTATGGATGCAGTGAAATGGAGCACTTCCATACTGCTGGTTGGAATATAAAGTAGTATAGCAACTATGGAAAACAGTGTGTAGATTTCACAAAGAACTCCAAGTAGAATTACCATTTGATCCAGCAATCTCACTACTGGACATCTACCCAAAGAGAAGTCATTATATGAAAAAGATACTTGCACACACAAGTTTATAAATAGATTCTCTAATATTTCATTAATGGTTTCTTGGAATTAGCACTTTCATCTTTTTTTTTTAATTTTTATGAAAGTGTGTTTATTTCATCCTATTCTTTAACAGTAGCTTAGCTGTGAGAATTAGAATTGTAATAGTAGTTAATTGCTCTAACAATGGTAATCGTTAATATTTAAAATACAGCCTTTATTATGAAATAATAGTGAAATATATTTTCTTAGCTTCATGTATTCTGGAAAGCGCACAAAATATATAATGGTACAGTTCAGTGAATATTTACCAAGTATATGTCCCATGCAAATACCAGTCCATTGAAGAAATATAACATTCATAGTTCCCTAGAAGCATCAGCCTTGAGATCTTCTCTTTGGGTAGATAACCAGTAGTGGGATTGCTGGATCAAATGTTAGTTCTGCTTTCAGTTCTTTATGGAATCTACACACTGTTTTCCATAGACTCAGCTATGAGACTTCTAGTTATTAACAATAGTAACAGTTACTATTGTTAGAACAATTACTATTGGGGCACTTGGGAGATATTATTTGACTCTATTTCAGTGTCTGTTGTTGCTATGGATAATTTTGCTTTCTGGCTATTTACTGGAAATTAATTTGCTTATTAATTATACAACTAGTATTGCTAGAACAGTTGAATATTTATTGAAATCATATTAAAGTTTTGTATCGAATAAATTCCTACTATATTTTTAAGGATCCTAAGATGACTCTGATACTATCCTTGCTATTCAGATATCTCTGCAATAAAGTCTAATAACAGACACAGCCACAAACAGGTAGTCTGTACAAATATGAAGTATTACGAATGAGGTTTGTGTATTGTGCTGAGATAGGTTTTAGAAGGGGCACATCACTTCGTAGGTGGAAATGATAGTATTAGCTTGAAAAGGAATAGTGGAGCTGGGGCTATGAGCAAAGCCATGAGTATATAGAAAATCATACTGTTTGCTGAAGTACATGTTCCTCATGACTTGAACATAACATAAAAAGTAATAGGTATATGATACAAAACTTATAATACATTCAGGGGCCAAGTTATGGGGTAACAAATGATCTTAAAGGAAAAGGCACGTATTTGAGAAATACTTAGCTTATAAAATTGTCAGACTTGCTAATGATGGTATGTTGCCATTACCAGTTGGAAAATAGGCAGAACAATCTAGAATGAGTTCTAGGGTTCAGCTTGAGCCACTATTTAAATCTTCCAATTTGGTGTCTTGGTGAAAGTTACAGTTCATTAATCCATTAAAAACATAAGATATATATCCTGAGGTACCCTTCAGGATCACAGCACCTTGATAATAATAGATGTTTAAAATATTCATTGAATATATGAACACCATGAAAAAAATTGAAAATTAAACCTCTGCATAAGCTACAGATGCTGTTTATTAGATAGTTGAATATGAGCCTATAAATCAGAAGTGTAGGAATAACAGTGAAGAGATTGTTTACCTAACGCATCTGGAGGGAATGAGAAATAGAATATATACAGAGCCTTATGAAAACAATATTCAAGAATTGACTAAACATAGGATTTAATTTATGCCTCTCCAACTAAGAAATCACAACCAACATCCTGATTACAGAGAATTTTATTCCCATAAAGCAACTTAACATTTTGGAATGTTGCATGATAACATATTTTTGATGATTTGGGGCAGATGTTTAAATGTTTTCTAACTACAAATGAAAATAGAACAGCAGCATGGAAAAAACTATGATCATGACTTGTACAGTTAACAACTTTTGGATACATGATTTTCTTTGGTCATATAACAATAGACATAAGTAGTCAGCTCAAAGATTGTGGTGGCCATTTTATACATGACTCAAAGAGGTTTGGTGATGTATTATCCTTCTAGTCACCCAGGTATGTAATA